TATATATATATATATATATATAAAAATAAGATAATGATGGGCTTACATACAGTTTATGCAGTTACTGTACACTGACATTCTATATACTGGCTTTTTTATGAAACACGCAATTGTTTAGTGTTCTAATAGGATGACATGAATGATACACTCCAAAAAAAAACACACTGTGACATAATTTATCACAATAATGATAAAATATCACCATGTTACCCACTCCTGAAGTACTGCATGTTAAAGGACTGGAGGTCTTTACATTTTATCAGCACTGTATATCAGTCCTATCATATTCAGCTGTGTTTTGTTGGCAGCCCATTGTCTCGTATTACCTAAGGAGATGTTTGACAGCCTGAATCCTTGTCAGCTCCGGGAACAGGAAGAGCCTAGGTCTGTTTCCCAGTGGGAAGCACAGCCGGCCCGTTTAAAGTGAACCAGAGCGTGATCCGAGTTTGGGCAGGGGATTAGTGCTGTTGTCTGTGGGACTGCACTGCGGCAGAACTTGGCGCTGAATTAACATGCTGCCTTGCTCCCCTCCAGTACGGCCTCTCTTTACCTTCACAAACATGCCATCATGGCCTTGTCGTTTCTCAATTATCTCACAGACTTGTCCTTAATGTGGAGATAGACCTAGAGAGTGCTGAAATGTTAGCTGCTATGTTAACTAAGATTATTTTGAGTTTCATTTTCATCATTCACCAGAGTCAATGTAATGTTTTTGTGATTGTGATTTAGAGGGGCAGTTGTAATTTTAGAAGATTTTGTCTGAAACATCTCAAGCTGTTGGTCATAGTATTGCACAGGAAGTTAAACATCCATAGCCCTTGGGGACTGCTGTGCTCAGAGTTTTGGTATTTAACCACAAGCTGATCCATCATAGTCACTAGTCCTTCTCTTTGGAAGAAAAAGATTTCCTGCACTCTAAAAAAAAGTTTTTTTTTAAAGGATTCTTGATAATGAGGCTGTTGGGTAATGTAAGTAATGTAATGTAATATTGGCTAAGAAGTTTTTTATTGTTTTTTCTTTAAATCTGAAAAATACTTCAGGATTAATTCTGGAACTTTGATCTGAGGCAGTGATGCACTGGTAAAATATTTGTAAGCACTACAAATAACTTTTCTTACATTATGCACAAAAATGTGCCCTTGTTTCCCTGGTCTTCAGCTGTACTCTTGTGCTTTTGAAAAAATAATTCTTAAATTGTCTGTTTTGAATTAACCGGTCATTTGATCTGGACACTATACAAGTTAAATCAGCTTTGCGTATGACAAACAAATATTAACTTTTGAATTAGGGTTTAGACTAATGGGACTTAAAAGACTAATGTGCTACCCAGCCCCCTAACAAGAGGAAGTGGTGAAGCCTGAAATAGTTCTACATGATGCTTCTTTTTAAGGAGTGGTTAGAATGTGTACATGGCTTAACCAGAACCAGTAGGATTTGTTAGAAATCAATCAATCTTAGCACCTTCACTTTGCTTTTAACCAAGCCACTCTGGGTCTTTTAAGAGCAAAGTAGAAGGGTTAGTTCATGTTCCCAGCTTCTGAGTTCAGTCATGTTTTGACCCAGGGTCAACGATGACATCATCCCCTTCTTCTGAGAAACAAATCATGAGTTACCCTGGGTTCATTTCTCATGTCCACTCATTCTTGTTGCCCTGGCTGCTCTTGTGCAGCGTTTTAAACACTTAGCTCAGTGCAATAACAAAAATCCCAACCATTGACATGATACATGTTTATGTATCAGGCTTTAGAATCAGACCTGATGCTCTTGTACTTTTGGAGGGCTCGCTGCTACCTAATCTTCTAAGTAAAGCTTACTTCTCCCCTGAGGCCATAAATATTCTTGTTGTTAGAATGTAGAGTCAGTCACTCTGTAGAACCATTCATCTCTTTGAACAATACTGGTGAATAGGGCCGCACCAATATAGCATGCTGATCTCGAAGAGCATTAGTAGTATTATATAGTATGCTGACACATAAACATTTATAAAATGTAGAAATCGGGACTACATCTACCTGGATTAGCATTTTTGAGAACATTTATTTGTAGACAGTTATAAATACAATAAAATAAATAATGCAGACATTTTAGCACAGTAACCCATCATCGCCTGGAGATTCTGCTCTTCCAAAGTGCAATAAATACGTCATCAGATATTGGTTTGAAATGTTGGTCAAATCTGAACATCTTTCTGATGTTGATATATTCTTGTTAAAGCAATTGATTCTAATCATCATGTATCTCTACTGGTGATGCTTTCTAGCATCAACAATCAGCCATTCAGGTTTACAGTAGTAAAAAGTTACTTTACAGGGTAAGAGAAAAAAAGAAGTTTCAACATGAGGTAATGTAACAGGATATTATTCCATTGATCTGTTTGTCATGAATATTTTGACACAATGTAAATGGAAAATCAGTTTCCAATCATGTAAAAAAAGCAATATTATGTAATAATTTTACGTAAGAGTAACAGCTTCAGAATTATTTTGATGGCACACTGACTTATAATAGAGAGAACAGCGTCTCTGTCATTGCCACTCAGGGCCCAGAATGCCTGCTATAGCGCTGTGTAACTTTAGTGGAGCGTGTGTGAGACCTCTCGCAAGAACTGCATAACGATTTATGACATCACGTTACACACCAACAACTATGGGTTTTCGGCTAGCTAAAAGAAGAAGCTAGCTTAGTGTTCCCAGTGTGGACATCATAACAGAGACTGCAAAGAAATGTTGTCAGAGGATGCGAGGAAGAGGAAAAGAGAAATTGACCGACTAAGAGACAGGACAAGAGTAAATCTCGGACTGGGCAAGAGCTAAAAGAGAAAAAAGGATGTGAGACAGATGCCAAGCTGGCCTTCTTCCTGTTAGACAAGTGAGGAATAACTTATTAGTTGACTTGTTTGTCAGTCAACATGGTTCTTTCACTTCTGATGTTGTCTTTGCCAGTGTATCCTTCAGCTTGTCAAGGAATGCACAAGTACAGCTGTATATGAGGGGCTCAAAGCATGATTTTACATTTATGACAGTGGTGTAAAAATGAAATATCCTCTGCAACTGTAGGAGCACCCTAGTAGCTATTCCCATTTTCGCATAATGCTGCTTTAAAAAATGACAAAAATGGAGATACAAGGTTTTGTTCCAACAGTGATACAAAACAAAAATGTGGTAATAAAATCTCAGATCTCTGGAATGGCAACTTTACAAGAGAAGCAAAAAACGTTCTTAACTTTAACATACCTTATAATAAACGTGTTTTATTTCAAGTAATTTTGGACCATTTCTGTCAATCCATCATGAATCACATAGTGCAAAGGGCATCTGGTATTTTTCAAATGGTATAAATAAAAATGAAAAAATGACAGCAACACGGCTGTTTATTTATTAGTAACTTTCAGACCCTCCTTTGTCATAGGCTGATTGTTCCCTCATGTTCTCATTCCCTCTAGTTTAGTCAGTGTGAGAATGACCCACTAGATCAGACGGTATCAGGCTTTCAAGTCCACCATACGCATAGGCAGGAAGTTACCACTGCACACCAATGCTGAGTCATGATGAGTGAAGCAGATGGCTGTTTGGTCGAAGCCCAGGTGCGGCACAGCTGCTCCGGTCTGAACAGTGACCCCACTCTCTTCTGTATGTTTCCTCTCATCTGATACAAACAGTTATCACAGTGGCTACCACTGAGCAACTGTATTTGTCATGATGACGACGGTACAGCTCGCCATATTAGGAGTGCTGAAGGCTTGCAGTAGCGTGTAAGAGAAGCTGGAAGGCCTGGCAGGGAAAGGCTTGGATTCGTTCATTAGTAGGGCTCTAATGATGTGAGGCAGGGGCAGCCTCAGGCCGCAGGAGCCGCTTACGCTGGCGCTCCCTAATTTATGAGCAGATGTATTGTAAAGAAGCGCTCGGAGCTCCTCTCGGGAGCAGGTGAGCCATGTCATTCTTGCAAAAGTATGTCAGCTGCTTATTTATAAAGCTCAAGGAGAGATGGTCTCCTTTTTATCCGAACCCCTCACACCCACACTCATTTGGGCCTTTTTGTCAACCGAGACGAGACCTGAGGAAACAGGAGAACCTGTGGTTTCTGTCTTTCATCCTCCAGCCAGTGATTACGCTATCCCTCTGGGCCTGTGGAATATATGCAGCACAAACAGAGTTTGAAGACCGCTCCGTTGCACGTGTAATTATTTGAGGACTGCTCAATTGTACGTGTAATTATTATTATTGTTACTGGGTGGTGGAAACAGATATGCTGGGTTAGCCTGGCCTAAGGAGCATATCACTTCACGTACAGCTTTTCTCTAATGTTTTTGCAACCTGATCACGCTGCTACAAGGCTGGAACAATATTAGCTTGTGACAAGGGTTGTACTTAAGGTCAAGTTAGCATATGGGTTACATGTCTGGGTTATGGGCATAAAATATGTTGTGTAAATGATTGTGCATGGAATGAAGGAAGTTTTATTTAAAAAAAAAAAAAGCTTGGGCTCATTTATGCACATCTGTACCTCTGCTCACACCATGCTCCTTACTGCTCATCCTCTCCATAGGTGGTCTGTACATCCTCGCCATAAACATTTCTCGCATAAATATTTACAGGTGCAGCAGGCAAACATTTGTCCCTTCAGCAGCTTGGTGCTAGTTTTCCTTCATTCAGCTGTGCAGTCTTGGCTCAGCGTGGTGTCGTTTATACCTCTTTCATTTGAGGTTTCAGACGCAAACGTGTTCTATAACAGTAATGAAAGGAGCGTTTAGGGTTAGTGAGTGGAGTGTCAGCGTCTCTCTAACACCAGCGAGCTCTCTCTGTATCCCTGACCTGCTATCAAAGAGCTATAAAAGTTAATGGGCGTTTTGTGAAGTGCCTCATCAGAGAGCTATCTCTTTGTGTGTGTCACTCTCGCCCTCCCTCCCAACTGGTCCACTGTACATCTGTGGTTAACAGCTCCTTTCTGTGTGTGTGTGTGTGTGTGTGTGTGTGTGTGTGTGTCTGCCTTGTGTGTTACAGAAATCGACCAGGGCAACATGAGTGAGCGCTTTGACTGTGACAACTGCAAGGAATCCCTGTATGGCAGGAAGTACATTCAGTCAGAGGACAACCCATACTGCATCCCCTGCTACGACAGCCTGTTCGCCAACACCTGCGATGAGTGCAAAGAACTTATTGGCCATGACGCGAGGGTGAGTTTTCAACAACAGAAGGAACGTTACTGTTCCGAATTTCCAAGGAAGGAAGTTGACCCGTAGAAGTCGTGGTTATCACTGGGGATAACAAAACAATGGTGTAATTCAATTTGAATTATTTCTCACTCACTTGCTGAAATAAGCAGAGAGATTCTGTTGAACTGATCCCATTTTTTTGATACCATATTTTTGTTTGTTAGTAAAAGAGGCAACATTTTATTTTAAATAAAATGTATTTGAATTTGATGTAAAGTTGTTTTGTGTGTACACTCTTGTGTGTGTGTACAGTTGTTTTTTTTGTGTGTGTAAAATCTTGCTCAGCAGAAACAAAAGCATCCTTTACGTTTCTGCAAAGTATCTGGTATTTTTTGACATTAAAAGTCATAACTAGGTCTGACCCAAATATTTTGAATACATGAGTATTCATTGTTACATTTTTGTCCTTTCTCTAACCACAAAAGTTGTAGCCTAACGTAATTTTCAGTTTTTCCACATAGTACAGCACAGGAGCGCCTCTGCAACTACTACACAAACAAGATCATCACATTTAAGTAAAAATGATGACGTTTATGCGTCACTCTCTCACATGTAAATAGGAAATCGACAACATGGTTATGTCTAGCGCAGCCCATGTGAACCAAAGCATTTATATCCTTGGAATTTGGCAGGTCCTCTTATCCAGAGCGACTTACAGTTTGATAATTTTATAGAGGTGGGCAAAGGTAGGGTTAGGAATCTTATCCAAGGAATCTTATTGGCATGGTACACAGTGCATGCCCAGGCAGGGGCTCAAACTCCAGTGTGCAACATGCAGGGCAGAGGTATTACCCACTGCACTATACCGACCAAGCACTGATTAAAATGGAAGCAGATATGTTCCATTATATGGATGACCAACACTGCTTCAAACATAGGGTGATTTTGAGAAGAAATATTTGAGAATGAGTATTCAAGTATGAGTATTAGTCTTAAGCTATTATGTATTTAATAAGGTAATGGTACACATATTAATTGTGTAGCAAAAGCAGTGGTCATGACTATGGACTTCCAAAGATTAATGTAGACTCTGCATCACACCATCAAAACTATGCATTTTTCAATTAAGACATTTTCACCTAAAATGTCAAAGCAGCAAAGTAAGTGAGTAAAACATTGCGCAGCACTCCACCAACCAAAAGTATCTGCTAATCCTCTCTAACCAATTTAAGGGCAAGTTTAATCCCCTTTAAATGAAAAGTACAAACAGCCAAAGCAGTTAATGTGGGGCAATAGTAAACACGAGGCAGGAAATGGCTCTACAGTCGTAGTGGAGATTCTGATCACACTCTGGACGCGAACCCAGCAGACTGATGAGTTATTGACACTGAGGGACAGCAGACAACAAATAAACTCTGTTTGTCTTGGCTGTGTAGCATGCAAGCCATAAATTCCATTTACTCTGTTAGCGTATTTTACACACAGTTCAGAAGCCCCTCCATTACACACACATACACGTGCACACACATGCACCCACACACATTAAAAGTCACACATGTGCAGTTGATTTCCATGTTATCTGATGTTTTAATCATAAAATGTCTTTGGTTGGAAAAGGAAACATCGATTTTGGGCTGTTTCTGTACAGCTCATTAGTATCTGTTGTATTGCCAAATAGAAAAGGCAATTTTGTTGTGTTGCATAAGGCTTACTTTACACAGCAAAACTTGCATGAGACTAGTTGCATAGTGCGAGTTGTGTGCAGCATATCTTTGATGCAACTTCACAGCTATATGAAGCAATTCAAAAACAATCACATGCAACACATTCAGTTTCTCCACTAGCTAAATAAGCATTTAGTATTCTTATCATCTTTGTAGAAATTTTCCAGCTGTCATTGGCGTTGTTTAGAATGACTGCATCAAATAATAAGAAGAGATTTCCACTATATATTTGATGTCTTTATAAACTGTTCTATGTATGTTATTGAAAATTTTTGTTTAAGTAGCCATTACAGTTGTACTTGATGCCTCACCTGTCCTCAAAACAAGTTCCTGGAGGAGTGTGTCTGGGTCTCTCGTTCTGTAGTGATTTTCATCCTTTGCATCCCAAGGAATCTCCACTCTATGTAAAATTAAGGGGCATCAAGAGAGGGAAATAATCTAGATACACAGAAGAATAGACACTGGCACAAGCAGCCATTTAAACAGCTGCTACCATTAGCAGGCTAGCCAGTCTAGCCAGTTAACTGAGTTCTCGAGTATCCATGCGCATCCCTAATTTCAAGCAACTAAAGTTGCATGTAAAGCCAGCCTAATACACCTCCAGAACCTGTAAGTGTATAAAGTGTCTTCATCCACACATACTATGCTTATTGACAGCAGGCCATATCTGGGTTAGAGTAACAGCCAAATCACAAAGTTCTGTATGTGCATGTGTGTTTGTAGGAGCTGTTCTATGAAGACAGACACTACCATGAGCATTGCTTCCGCTGTTTCCGCTGCGACCGCTCTCTGGCTGATGAGCCCTTCACCAGCCAGGACGACGCCCTGCTCTGCAACGACTGCTACTGCAACGAGTTCTCCTCCAAATGCGTGGCCTGCGATAAGACTGTCATGCCTGGTATGAAGGAACTCTGTAACACCTCCATAGACATGAGTCATATCATGGCACTGTTTGCCCTTTCTTTTTCTTGAAATATTCAGAGTGTAAAACCACAGGTTCTCACACGGTGCACAGATGAGCCATTTATGACCACAGATATACTGTTACTATCACAAACTTGAGAGCTGGTGACTAAGGTGAGAATGGAGAGAAGAAGCAAAATTTGCCGATGCGAAGACTGTGCTTATAGAGCTGTAGGGAAAGAGAGAAAGAGAGATAGAAAGTTAAGCAGTCAGCACCAAGGCTAGATATGACAGAGTAATTGCCAGTTTGCCGATCTTAGCTGTCTCTCAGCCAAATCCTCGTACATGGCGGGCTGCCAACCGTCTGATGAGAGGAGGAGATAAGCCTGTAAACTATTTCAGCAAGCCTGTATCAGCCAGAAAAGGAGTCATAAAACGGTAAAGGATTCCAGGCATAAATTGTTTTGTTCTCTTATGTATGTCAAGAAATAACAGTCTTTTGCATGTCATGGCCCTCTTCTAAAACACAACACAAAACAGGTCATTCAGTGTTAAATATTTCTACAGAAATAATCCACAATTTGAACACAGAAAGTGATCACTTTGATCCTGCTGAGCAAAGCTTGTCTCATGCTTTTAACACTGAGGCATTCATTCTGGAGGAAAACACGTAGTTAGTGGTCAGAACCTCTGATTGTGAACTGGAGTTGCACACAAGTCAGAAACAATAGCTCGCTGTCTCTGTATTACAGCAGTTCACTTCAGCACACTTTGCATACAAAATTATGATTTTTTCCACATGAATTTCACCCCAAGTGGTCTAAAGTGTAAAAGTGTCTTCTTCTGTACTCTCCCCATGGAGTCTCCAACTTGAAAGAGATACTCTAGCTGTAACAGAATACTTCTTCAAAAAGGCAGCAGGATTATATCTCTGTCTCCCATTTGCAGAGTAAAGCTGCACTGATCTTTTTAATGTGGCCTCCTTGAGGAAAATTTCAGCTGGCCTTTTGATCTGTAGAACTCGTGAACATTTAGTGGACTTTGAAGGACAGTTGTTGACCTTAGTGGTGTTAGATCATTTTGCTGTCACTTGAAAAGCTTGCTTCTTGTTGATGTATTTTTCTGTTGATGTTCGAAAATGAAGGTCTGTTGAACTGCTGTTTAAAGAAGCTGTTTACTGCCGTTGAAATAAGATTAAGACCTAGGTCGTGATGTCATTTTGCACTAAAGATAAAATTATGTTTACCATAAGAGGCACTTGAATCATCTTGGTTTATCTTGGTATTTCTATGTACAGATTTGTTTTCAGTCTCTCTCTTTCTCTTTGTTTCTCTCTCTCTCTCTCTCTCTCTCTCTCTCTCTCTCTGTCAGGCACTAGGAAGCTAGAGTATGGTGGCTCCACATGGCATGAGGGCTGTTTCATTTGTAACAGCTGTGAGCAGCCTATTGGCTCCAAGTCCTTTATCCCAGATAAGGATGACCACTACTGTGTGCCCTGCTATGAGAACAAGTTTGCCCCTCGCTGCACCCGGTGCAAACAGGTTAGTGGCGGGTATTTAACACAGCACCTGAGCTTCAGACAGTTTCTGCATGTGTTCCTAATCAGTCTGAAGCCAAATTCCTCTCCAGAGCTGTAGCTGTGATGCCATTGCTGTTTCCTGCTGTCTATCACTGCTGAATATAGATTGTCTCTTACAAATTGGGACCAACAAAGTTTATCATATTTGCAGCCAGTTACATAAGATGCAAAAGCAGACACAAATTACATAATTACATTTACTCACAGAGAAGCTATTATATGGAGTTGTTATTTTAAAGACCTCGTCATATAGTTGACTTGTTAGGTTAAAGTGGAATTCTTGTTTGCTTTGCTTAAAAACAGAAACAGGCCAAGAAGGGAATAGCAGACAAAAATTCAAAGAGCCAAACTAGAGAGACTAGAGAGAGAGAAGTGAGGTGTATGAGGAGTGAGAGCACCCTCGGTTGTTGTCTCCCCACCTAGCTCAAACCTGTACAAAGCAGTTATACGTTTATACAAATTATATGTACACTCAAAAACTGTGCTTATAATTGCTGATTACAGAGCAAAGCTAATATAATAGAGTGAGCTTATAATGGTTGAGTTTATTCAACAAAGATAGTGTCCACGTAGGTCCCTGCAACAGTCACTCTGAGTCAGGCCAAAGGCAGTAAAGTTTTCTGAATAATCACCACAAAGTCGCCTTTCACCCAGTTCCACAGTGATGGAAGAATCCAGTTCCACTACCATAGGCAGCGCATCCATGTCTGGTTGAATAGTTTGGTGATCGGTACAAGCAAGTCCTTATGTTACGACACAGCAAGGAACTGTTCTCAACAGTCACTCTCAAAGGGCCATGATATCTATGAAGAGAAGATGCACCATACAAACACACCACAGACATCACAGAGACTCAAAAAGCCAAATGTAATTAAAAGCCCAAGATGTAAGAATAGAATCCTAAGTAAAAAACACAGGAGATAATATGTAACCCTTCGCTTTGAAAATGTGGGCATTGTAATATGTATCAGCATATGTTATTAGAGCTTGTGTGCTACCAGGTTTTCCATGACTATGTAAAAGAGGCATGATGCTTTACTGATGGATGTCTTGTGGTAGCTTCTGAGCGAGCAGGCAGTTATATTCTGAATAGGACAAGAGTTGCTAAAGGATTGTTATTGATTTGCTTAATCATAATAATAATAATGATAATCATAATAACAAAAGAGTTTGTGACAAAAAAATTAGCATACAAATTATTATTATGATTTTTTTACTATGTTCTTTACATTAAACATAAATGCAACAATCACATTAAGAAATAACTCCTTTGTCTTGGCATTAAAGGGTTAATAGACACATTGCTTTTCATTACAAAGCTCCACAATTTGTGTGGTATATTTGTTATTTACAGTCTCTCTGTTTCAGGTCTTGACCAAAGGTGGAGTGACCTACCGTGATGAACCGTGGCATAAGGAGTGCTTTTTGTGTACAGGCTGTAAGGTCCAGCTAGCTGGCCAGCACTTCACCTCCCGAGACGATAGTCCATACTGTCTCAAGTGCTTTGGTAACCTCTATGCCAAGAAGTGTGAGGCGTGTAGCAAACCAATCACAGGTACAGTAGAGTGACTCACAAAGTCTGCATATGGAATGATTCTGGTTTTTGCCTTTAAGTCATTGTCTCCCTGCATTGGTGTTTTTTCAGGTTTTGGTGGAGGAAAGTACATCTCGTTTGAAGACCGGCAGTGGCACCAGACGTGCTTCACGTGCACCAGATGCTCCGTGTCACTTGTGGGGGCTGGATTCTTCCCTGAGAGAGATGAGATCCTCTGCCGTGACTGCAACAGCAATCTATAGAGCCTCCATCCACTCTCTTAACACACACGCATACATACACAAACACATGCCTGCATGCCTCCACACTTACAGACTCACAGAATTCATAGCTTTCACCCACAGTGATCCTGCTCAGTAAACACTGCTGTATATACAAGCTGTCTTATTCCTATTTGATACTCAATCAGGGCACACAGACAACATTGTCAGCAAGTTGTAGGCATGTGCTGTAGCACGCTTGTTCTCTGGTATGTTTGTTGGAGTAGAAAGGGGCAGGTCATTTATTGCATTGGAGTGACACAACTCCCAAAAGGTCTGTGAAAGACCAGGCTTGGAAAAAATACATCTCTGCAGACTTGTGCCTTATAAGCTAATGTACTGCACACCTTTTGGGTGTTTTTAAGCATTTTGTATTATCTTTTGCCAATTTCCTACTAGTTTTATTTATAGCCAAGGCCTCTTTTTTAAACAACCAGCCAAAGAACATTATAAAGCTCAACTCAAAGTGCCAAACTCTGTCTTCAAGACCTTGTAGATTCCGCAGTTGGCTGGTCAACTGCTTGCTTTGGTAAGGTGGAAAGGAGCCCATCATTTTTTCCATTCAGGGACAGTGTGGCTGCACTCCACAGACAATATATGCACAACTGAAGCTTGGAGCAGTGATTTACTGTAGATGAACCTCCTATGATGTCTCATTCCTAGGACCCCAGAAAGGAGATGGTTTTAACACCTTTAATTTCATTTAGTGAAAAATTCACCCATTTTTGCCCTGCAGAACTGATTACTAATGAGTAGTTAAGAGTATAGGATTACAGCCAATAAAACACCTATAACAGATCTATAAACATCAAAGATCAGAGTGTCTTGCTAAATAATGAGATTCGCCATTTTCCAAATGTTACAAATATTTATTGTGTGCTGCATTGCACAAAAGTAGCAGCCACAGGAACACACAGTGGTAATGTAATAGACATAAAAAATTAAAAGTTGAGTGAGTATTTGAATGCTGTAGTCTGGTGAGCATTTTTGATGCAGTGTTTATTTGTATTTTTCACCGTTTTGTTACTGAGCATATTGTAACTTTGCAGTCCAAATGCTTTTGATACTCTAATGGACTTTTCCAAATACTTGTATGTTTAACCGACCAAAAAGTGTCTTTTACCGAAATGTGGGAAATGAAGTTTGTGATGTGTTTTACAGAAAGCATTCATGCATTTGCACTATAGCTAAATTTAGTGTATCCTGTGCACAGACAGTAGTCAAATTCAAAGACACAGCATGCATACACTGTATATAAACAGAACACAGACCACTCCCTATTCTCTGTCTGCTTGTTGTTCTTTGGTCTAACATATACTTGCTCACTGCTCAACACGCATAGCTATTTTTCTGTAATCTTTTATATGTTATGTGCTTTACTTTTTTTTTCTTTGAGCCATATTTGCTAAGAGTGAATGATAGGGCGAGTCCCATAAAATGTATGTTGCAATATGAATATGTCAGCAGGATGGTATGCATGCTGTTCTCTTACTTTTTATTTCCTTTCCTGACTTCGATGATTGCTCTATTACTGAAGAGAATATTACTGATTTCACCATTAGAACATTTCTAAATATATGTATTCACTTTGAGCTTTGATGCTGGCTAGTCAGAGTTAGCTAATGCTTTTTTTATTTGTTTGTGTTTAGAAAGATGTAATACAGACATTAAGATTGGGAGTATGAAAAAATACTCATTCAGATCCAAAGATGTTTGCTGATATCATTTGTTAATAAATATTTTATGAATGAATCTAGTTTAATTTTCTCAGTGGAGTTTTCTCTGACACACAGTCCTTATTTGATTTGATGAGAGTGTTCGATGGCTTTGGCAAAGATGAAGCTAGAAGGCAAGCAAACTAAGCAACTGCTTGGGGCTCTCAGGAAATAGGAGTTCCTTGGTATCGGACAACCAATCTAAAAATGTCCAAAGGCGTAAGATTTATTAGTGAAAGAAACTGAAGTGAAATTAAATTCACTGTTCTGTAAAATATTCGATGTGTAATTCTTTTAACAGTACTGAATGCTTTAAAAATAATACCAGAAAATACTCGGCAGGTAAAATTCCCCCTCCTATAATCTGGTTGGTTTGTTGAATTTTCCAGCCTAAAGTCTGATTGGCATGTTGAATTATTCCTCCCTGCACTCCGACTGGCTACTTGAATGGTCTGCGCTGAGTGGCTAGTAGACATTTCTGTCCTGATATTGGTTACCTTGTTTTTTCCTGAGCTCTGGTTGGTTGAATGCTCTTCTTTGGTTAAAATTTATATATATATATATATATATATATATATATATATATATATATAGCTTTTTCCCCCACACTCACTTTCACTAGAGTGTTGTCGTGTCATCAGCAGTGGTAACTTTGCTTGGATGGAGAATGGAACATTTGACCCATGTGCAGGGTAGTATTATCCACTGTATCATCTAACTATATAACTAATTAACATATATATAATGCAGTTAATGTTGGAACTGTGTGAGGATTCCTCTATGCAGGTAGAGGGTGTTTTTGTTTTTTGCTTAGGGCACTCAAAAGTTCAAAAACATCCCTGGATTTTGGAAATAAATTTGGAAGTGAGTAGGTTGCTGACATGCAGTTAGTTACCTTAATTCCAATACTTTGGCTTTGTTTTTTGGGTGGTTGAGTAAGTATTTTGGTAACATATTACAATTTGTTATTTGTGTTAGTAAATGAATTGCGAGATTACATGCCTTTTTCCTTGACCAGGTTTACTAAATCTGTAAAATAAACTGCTAAACCACTTGAGATCAAGAGGTTATGAGTTTCAAGCGCAAGATCTGTCTTCATGCAGATTCTAGTTCTAAATCTAATCTTACACACCTGGCTCTAATAATCCTGCATCAGGAGTGTTATATTGGCATTGAAGCTAAACTATGCAGGATCAAGAGTGAGCATTTCTAACTGGAAATAAGGAAAGATTACAGTAAATCTGAAGTCTGTTGCAGTCATTGATTTCTTTTGTACGGTTACTATATGATGTCTTCAGTCAGATTTATCAGAGTGTGTGTGTGTGTGTGTGTGTGCGTGTGCATGTGTGTGTCTGTGTGTGTGTGTGTATGCGCAAATGTATGTGTTTGCTGAGTGTGCTGTTTCATCACCTTGATGAGACATAGAAGCTCATAACAAACACACAGCCAGATCCGCTCACTCGTCTCAGCATTGGTGGATATCTTCCTCCCCTTCTTTCTTTCGGCATTTTCACCAAAAAAGGAAATGGAAAAGAAGCAGGAGGAGGGGAGGGGACACGGCCTTCTGGTGGAAGTAGCAGGAGCGTGTGGGAGAGCAGTTAATGGCGAGGGGGGGAGTCTGGAGTTGGTCCATGGCACTTCCACTCGGGGTCAGTTACACACACTCACACACATTGCCCTGATGTTTATGGGAAAAAGACTGAGCTGGTGAGGAAGAGGAGGAGGCTGGTGAGGATTACGAGAGTGGGAGCTGAATCATTACTGAGGAAAGTCTAGTGGACACAGCACATAGTGTAGTGGGAGAAACAGATCATACATTTCTAAAATTACAGATGTGTTGTCACAGGTTGTGCAGCACCAATTGGTCTTCAGATAAAAAAATAATAAAATTATTCTTGCATAAAATATTTCAAAATAGAAAAGTGGTCAGGCCTGAGGTAGCTCAGCCGTGACTGAATCAGGTGTGTGTGTACGCTGCGCTGTGGCCCTTCAGAGGCCCAATAGCTCCCATGAGAGGAAACACACACACGCTCCTTCTAATTCTTTTTCTGACAGCTCAGACATAACTTTCAAGTGTGTGTACGCATGGGACCCTTGACTAGAGACCAATTCGCTTGTGTATGTATTTCACCATAAAGTGTGTTTGTGAGGTTTGTGTGTGGTGTATTGTGTGGCATGTTGCATTCCTGTTCTGATGTGATTACATTCTTGTGACACTGATGGATTTCACATGTACATTAGATTAGAGAGATTCATTATGTGACCGCATAGCACACAGCACAGTGTTCAATCAAACAGCACACTGATTCAACAGACTTTCCAACTGCATTCCCTAACATTCTTTTTCTTTATAGTCTGGAAGCAGAGGCACTGCACCATTCATTTGGAGTAGGCTTGCTTACAGCAATGCCAAAAATGCAGCACAGAGGAGAGATTGAGCAACTATTGTGCAGAGAACAAGCTCCATTAAAGATTTACAGTTTTCAGCTGAGTAGATATGAGTGATGGAGGCCAAAACAGACTACTAAATTACTATATTAGTGTTACTGTAACACAGAGATGTTCACAAGTCATTTTATGCAAGTTGCAGGCAAGTTTCAAGTCTCTAAGGTGAAGTCAGCATCAAAAAGTCTTAAGGAGGGGCATTCTGGCCTAAAGCTGGTATTTAATGTGTTTTGCATTGTGCAGGACTGCAATGTATCTCTCAGCTTCATCAGTAAGACAGAATTCACAATTCACAAATCCGTCACACAACCACTGGGAATCCCTGTGGTATCAACAAATCCAGACTGTTAGCCTGTTAGAAAAATAGGCTAATGAATGCAGTCAGGCTAGTAATAGTGTTACCTTGGTCGTCAAACAAAATAGCTTTTTTCTTTATCAAAGACACAATTCAATTAATGAATGTCCACAGAGTGCAGCATACCTGGACGTGGAAAATCTGAACATGAATATTAAAGCCAGAGTGATTGGCTAACATCCTAGATAAAACCCTTTCCCTGCACATGGGGACCAGGATTAGATTGCTCGTCCAGACAGATGTGAGCAAGATGACTACCATGTCTATGAATAGAAGCTAAATATGCAAATGTGTTGTTTTCTAGAAAACCTGTGTTGAACTTTGCAGAGAGCAGAAAAGCTGTAAGTTTATATGCCACAGAAAATGATATACAGTAAGGATGTGCAACACTTTAAATCAGAGGATTATAAGCCTGAGAAAAAGGAGCAAGACTGAGGAAAGCTAATTAGCTTTAAGCTTGCTGTCCTCCTCAAATAACAAGTTATTTTTATCATTTGAGTAGTTCATTCTCTCCATGATGATTTAAAGACAATCACAGTTATAAAGTTGCAATAAGATACTTAGCCTCCTAGCATGTTAGCTATCTGGCTTCCTTATGCATTCACATATTTACTTTGAAAAAAAAATATCAAAACAGGCCCCCCTGAAATCCACCCCAAAGCAGTTATAGTTTTTCAAAACTTTCTTCCACTCTCAAACAACATCAAGGGGGTTTTCATAGTCATTAATCCAGAAAACCTTGCTCTAGAAGTTAGAATTGTTAGTTTGGCTGGAGGTCCCTTTGAGTCTCAGTTGAGTTGGTGTCTCTGAGGAATGTCCTGTAGCTAGAAAGCATACTTGCTATCCAAACTACAATGTAATTAGCTTTTCTATGAGTGCTTAAGGTGTCATAAAGTTTGTTTTTCCAGTTTCTTTTAAGCACTGCATTTAATGCACTTTGGTCTGCCTGTCAGCTTTTTGTAAAAGGCTTGTGATTTGAAATTGTAAAAGGCTTGTGATTTGACATCATTCTAAACCTACTGCAGTGAACAGGAAGAGAAAGACATTACAATAAATATCTGTGCAAGGTCATTGCAAAACTGGCAGGTAAAGCAAAGTTTTATCAATTACCACGTTAAGACTGACAGTCCTTTTGTTCATGGTTTTTCCCTGGCTGAAATTTGTTTAATCTAGAGGCCAAGTCAAGAAGCAAGCCAGTTAAAGTCCATCAGCATGGGACTCACGTGTGGCTTGTTGCATTTGTAACTTGAGTCCTCATCTTTGCTGTAACACACTGTTAATTTATTTGAATCGAAGCCTGAAACACTGCTGTTGTGTGCACTAGAGCTATATCTGTAACAATTTGAACAACTGCAATTATGTGACATGCACTGGACCATGTTCTAAAGATCTTGTTTGTCTTTGCCAATCCAAATCAAGCCGATCTGGGAGAGAAGTAGGGCATGAGAATCCTTTTCCCTTTTTTCATCTCATTCTTGAGTGACAACTAAGCTTTCTAAGGTAAACACAGAACACTGCAATTAACATCACAGTTTTCTCACACATGTCCAGAGTGAAACAAGAATCTCTCTGTCACTAGAAATGACTGAAACAAAACAAAGATTATCTGTCATTTGATTCAGTGCATCCAGTATGTGAGTTCCCATGATAATGTTGCACGGATGGGAAATAAAGCCCCACATTCTTAAACAGTGATGCGATAAGTGAAGTGGTGGTGGGAAACAATAGGATTCTGAAATCATTACTTTGTACTTATGGCATTACTGTCAGACACCCAGTATCAACAGAAGTCTCTCTTTCTTTTACAGCTTTGATGTGCACCAACTGGCCACTTTATTAAGTACGTCTGCTTGTTTCTACACTCATTGTACAATTTTATCACCACTTACCATATAGACCGTAGTCCATCTGTTTCTCTGACCGTAGTCCATCTGTTTCTCTGCATACTTTGTTAGCCCCCTTTCACCCTGTTCTTCAATGATCAGGACCCCCACAGGACCACCATAAAGCAGGTATTATTTGGGTGGTGGTTCATTCTCAGCACTGTAGTGACAGTGATGTGGTGGTGGCATGTTAACGTGTGTTGCGCTGGTATGAGTGGATCAGACACAGCAGTGCTGCTGTGTCCACTTAGTTCCTGCTCAGTTTGTGTTGGTCATTCTCTAGTCCTTCATCAGTGGTCACAGGACACTGCCCACAGGACACTGTTGGCTGGATCCACTCAAACCAGCGCAACATTTA